GGCACGCTCGCACTGAAAGTGGAGGCTGCAGAGTAGCACTAAAGTAAGCACATACTTGGGGAGATGCTGAGATGCTGAAGCTGGCACCCCACTCTCTGGGACAGGATCCTAACTCTGGATGGCACAAATATGTATTTGGCCTTAAGCAGTCATACTTGGGGGAAAAAAGGGAGTAACCTCTTTCCTCGGTCTCACACCACATCATGCCCAACATCTCAGCATCCAGCACATATTGCTGAACAGCCGCAAACAGCTTTAGACGTCAGTGAGGTTGTCGGATAGTGTGTGGATCATCGCTGTTCTGAGATTTCATTTATTGAGTGCATTAAGATGTTTAGGGAATCTGCTTTTATACCTGACACTGAAAACAATGTCTGATAGATAAGGGATGTCAAAAGCAAAGGGCACTTAGGGCAATAACATGAGACCAGAGCACAGAAGAGTTGGATCCGCAGAAGCACCTGGCCCTAGGAAACTCTGACTGATGTTTCCTTGCAGACACGCGCACCTTCTGGTGTGCTGTTAACAGCCCCCTCATTTCTTCGTTTGCCACAACAACTGCAGCTGTCCTGGATCACCCATGCACCAGCCCTGGCTGAACTGTCAGCCTGATCTGCTGCATCAAAATGGGCCAAATAAGGTGCCCCTTCTCCTCATGGGTGGAAAAAGTTACTTGGACCTGTCTGCTCATTGAGAGTCACCAAGCAGCGTTCACTGTGGCTTGTTGAGACTGTTCAGTCGGCAAAAATTTAGCAGTGGACCATTGCTTCTCTCCGCTAACACAATTCTCATGCATGCCCTGTTCCAATTTCAAAGGCTTTTTTTTTTTTTTTTGGTAGCATACACAAAGCCTGGACTCATTGAACGGAGCAAATTTTGCATTTACCCAGAGTCTTTAATGGGGTGAAGGGTGGGGTGGAGGCTCAAGGTTGAATCCCTTGTTTGTTTGAGGCACTATCTGAAATCAGTGGGAACTGTGTGAGCACCGTAATTGCGTGGGTGAGCTTTGGGACCTTGATGTTGACAGTCCTCCTGAGAAAAGGCAAAGACCGCGGAGCCACTGAGCTCCTTCGCAAAGGGGCAGGGTGGGGGACTCCTTTCGAGCACAATTTAAATATGGGGTTGGTAAAGCCGCTGGGATTGTCCCATTGAAATAAGAAGGGGAGGTCACCTATTTCTGCAGTGCCAGAAAAATGATAAATTTGCACATGTAGTGGTGGTTCAAGGCCAATTTCTGCAGCCTGTCTATACTTATTTGTTACAAGGTGAACCTTCAATGTGGTATTGTTAGGCTGTTATCATCATATTTCCATTAGAGCTCAGTGGGAGAATGATTAACTCAGAAAGCCTGGGAGGGGAGAAAGGAGGAGCCTGGCCTGGAGCAGCTGCTAATCTAAGGGCAGCCCTGCCTTGGTGTGGCCAGGGGTGTGTTTGCTGGAGGTCCAGGAGGGTCGTGTCTCCTGTGCTTCCCTCAGCTGTCTGTTGTCACTGATTTGGGGGCAGTTGGTGGAGAAAGGGGGATGCTTTCTGAGCAGATGTAGGACTGCAGGATGCATCTGTCAGAACCTAAGTGGTGGTGACCTGATTTCAGAAGTGCTGCTCCCTCCAGGGAAACTGCCTGGGGCTTGGCGCCCTTGCAATGCAGAATCCCTTTATCAAGAAGCCGGTCTGTGGGCCAGTAGGACTGAAAACTGTGGCTAGGCCTTACTTCTGTTTTGCTGAAAAAGAATGCTTGCTTTACAGAAGTCTACTTTGCAATTTGCAGTGGATTTACCTCAAGTAAATGTATATCCTGCTATGCATGGTGGAGTCATCTCTCCTCATGGTAATGCCAAGAGATCCAGCTGGGATGGGGTTTCCCACTCACCCTGGCTGGCCAGAATAGCTGTACAAAATCATGTTACTGTTCTCTGCTGCCAGTCATCCTTCTGTGGGAGATGTGAACATCCCCCCTACTGCTAGGACAGACCATGTCCCTCTGATGCTGAAACTGCTAACATGCATCAGGCCCCAGATGCTTTTTAAAGTGAGAGAAAAACCCAAAGAGCACCTTCTGATCTATAGTCTTTTGGCACATGCTGAGCATCATGTTTGGTGACCCATCCCTTTCTGGGGGCATGGGAGGAGGAGGGCCTCAATCTGGGCAAAGGGGCCAAGGCTGAGGTGTTGCTTGATCTCACAGGGGGAACCAGCTCTCCTGTTATGCCCACGGTAGTATCTCTGTACGCTTCACTTGGTGCTGTGGCTTCTAGAGAGGCAGGACATGACCAGCTCATTGCAGTAGTCCCTAAATCAATTATTTTTTAAGCGTAGGAGGACTCTCCAAGCTGAAGGAAGGGATGGCAAGGCAAGGGCAGTATCACTTGCCTCTGAGACTTGCAAGTTCTTGCTCACTGTTAGTAGGACCACATGTGCGCACCGTTGTATAGCTCCCCTTGGCAATGCCTCGTAAGCTGCGTGAAAACAGTTATTGCTTCTGTTGTGGTAGTGCAAAAACAGTCCTAGGTCGCAGCCCAGCCCAGAGCGCAACATGCAATGCATCACAGCATGCTTTCCTCAGAGAGGTCCCATACCGTCCCAGAACAAGTGACAGCATGGGTACGTTGCCCTGTTAATGCACAACTGAACTGTTCCAGGTAATTCACGAGTCTGAATTTCTTTCAGGAGAAATAAAGTAAGAGGAGCTGCGCAGCTGTGTTGTTATCCCTGGTACCAGAGAAGAAGCTGATTAACGAGATGAGATGAGGGAGGGCAAAAGGTTTGCAGGTTAAATGGGGGGCAGAAACAGGATAGCTTGAGAGAAGGTGTTTAGAGCAAACAGAGGCTCCAGGCTGGACTAATCAGCAAAGCAGAAAAGGCAGGTTAAAGTAAGGAGAGACAAGAAGAGATAAACAGTGAGGGGCTGTACTGGTGTCATTTCCAGACTCTTGAAGCAAAGGCTCAGGCATGGCCTCAATAGCTATGCTTTGTTTTTAAAAGATTAAGCAGTGCTGTAGAAGGAAGGGTATTAGTTAATGTTTCCTCTAATGTCAGCCAAAGGAGATAATCACATCTATTAGGCAGATAAAGTACTCACTTTCCCCTTGAGAGAATAAACGCATACTGGTAGTTTTATACGCTGGAAACACTGAGCTCTCTAAAAACTTGGTTGGGAAGAAGGTTTTCTTGTTTTTAAATACTGATGTGTGGGGCTGGAAGAAGGAACTTCTTCCACTCTATGTTCCTCAACTGATTTTATTGTTATTAACTTGCAAGTAGCTGAGCCCTGGAGGCTGAAGCCCCTTTCAAATATTGCGTGCAGCATGGCACAGAGTTCCCCAGAAGCTCTGGAGAGCAGTTCAGTCTTGGGCCAGTTCAATCCATAACTCCTTTGCTGAGCCTGGACAAGCAATGGGTGTTGTTTTAAGTCATTCAGTACTGCATAGATTCATATATACCACTAAACAGCCATGTGAAAATACCTCTAAATAGCAACCGGCCTGGCCTATATCCAAACCAGAGACCTAGAGGCAAACAGTTACGCCCAGCTAGTAACCTCTTGCATCATTTTGTCTGTCACTGATAGCTGACTGTATATAAGATCTGTTCTTATAACATCTAGTTTTTCTACAGAAAAGTTTTAAGGTAGATGAGTTCTTGCTGAATTTTCATGGGTTTAATAACAGCAGTTTTGCAATGGGCAGTGGGATAAAACTCTTCCCAGAGTATTGGATGACACGGTATTGGATGCTCTCTGGTTTCTTTAAAGAGTCAACTACTGAATGTAGTCATGAATTTTTAAGGTGCAAAACATCAGACTCTGTGAAGTTGGTTTGATCATTGGGGAGGAAGGAAAATTGCCAGGCAAGAATTAAACCCTTCTAAATTGGATGGATATGTGATTTCCTGCTTCCCTAGCTAACAGTAAGCATGGCCTGTAGCATGAGAAGAAACTCCAGAACGCCATGGACAATTTTCCTCTGTCACTGTTTTTGAATAAAATCAGTATGCAGTTAAGCCAGTGAAAATCAGTATGCAGTTAAGCCAGTGTTATAAATCTTGGTAGGAAGGCCTCCAGAGCAGGTAGATTTGTTTAATCACTTGGGCTGGAATCCAAACCACTGGAGGATATAAAACATATACACTAGTGCCATTCACTTCACTGAAAACACCTTTTTCCCATCCAAGGAAATAGCTGTGGCTGGCATCAATATATATTTGGCAAGCTGTAGGGATAAACAGATTTCTCAAAAAAATCATCTTTGGCCCAGATACTGACTGTATTTGAGCACTGTAACTTCTCAAGTTTCTCAGCTAAGACTTTTTGACAGAGGAATCATAAGGAATCAGTGATTCAGGCTTTGAAATGGTGGATCCTTATGTCTGTTCACCAGACCTCCCCGTCCTGATTCCAGTCAAACTATTACCTTCAGTTTGGAGTAGACCTTTCTGAACATCACTTCTCCTGTGATACTTATAAGAAAGAAGTAGTAACAAAATCCTAACTTATCTTTTCTCCGGCATATTTTGTCTTCTTTGTGTCTTGACCATTAGGTTTTTGAACAAGAATCTTATTCCTTAATGTATTGAATTGTGTTTCACTAAGCCCACGGGTACTATGAAGTAAGGATATGTATTTTTATTTTCTGATTTTCCAAATATCATCAGAATTGCTTCCTGGAAGAATTTTAGTGTGCCCCAGTTTCAGCAATTTTTATGTAGCTTACACTAAGAAATAGGGTTTTGCATCAGGAAGAGAGTCAGACGCCACAGTATTTTAGTTAGGAGCTTTGGGTGTTTTTAGAACATTAATTGCCCCAGTAATTCACTAGGTATGCTACGAGCCATATCCGTAGCAAAATCGATTTCCATTTTGCATAGAAAATTATACAGACCTCCAAAGTGGGAGTTTCTGCCTCCTTCTGAAGCAGGAAGTTTACGGTAGTAATCTTTCACATTGGTCTCTGCCAGCTTTGTCATTCTGGCTGCATGCTCTGACACTGTTATATTGTCTCTTTCAGACGCTTTTAGGATTTGACACAGTTTGGGCAACACTTCATCCACAAAGTGAGCATCCACGGCAAGGACAGTTTTTGGAAACAACATCCTTTTATGTGATTGAAGGTAATGTGCTGCTTATGTGATTGTCTCGTACTTGGCATTTGTTTCAGGTCTGATTCTCATGCCCTGGCCAGCCTTCCCCTTTCCAGCCCTTCCTGGGTTGGTCAGGGGACCAGGAGACCTGCCTCTTGCTGAGCTGGAGACTGTGTTTTCTGCCATCCCTGTGCTCCAGAAAGCACTTGCCCCCACTTGCATCTTAGTTCACACAGTCTTGCATCTTTTTGTTTAAACCAATGACATGAGCTCCGTGAGCGGCAGAATATGGCTCCGTCTGTCTTTGAGCAAACTTTTGGCAATGGCCTGCAGACTTTGTCCCCAAAGCTGCAGTGAGGCCACTGCGGCAGACATCAGTGCACCCTGTGGGCTGCTGGCATGGTGAGTCCATGCTTCCCATGGCCCTGCACAATGCCCGGGGCAGTTACTCCATGCTGTAGTCTGGGCCTCAAAATGCACGAAGGTGGGATGCACTGCCACAGAAGACACGTCTTTTGTGTTGCGCTGGTGCAGATCTGGAGCTTCTGTCAAGCAACCTATCTGTTACCTTATCCACATAAATGCTTCGTGTTCTTGACGCTTGAAGCCGTTTTGCTTTTAAGTACTGTTTTGCAACCAGGAATTTCACAGGTCAATTATGCCCTATGTGCAAAAGCTAAAATAAAAATGTGTGCATTGTTTCTGAGCGCTTTCTGACAGTAGGTGGTTTAGCACTTGTCAGCCTATATATTGCCCTGTGCGTTACCGACCTTCTTAGCACAGTTGCGAACAGCAGAAACTGGGCTGTTCATTTGCCCGTGCCTCTGGCAAAAAATCAGAATAGGATGGTCCTGCAACTGTAGCTGTTGCATTTAAGATAATCTTCCCTACATGTAGTTTTTTTCACAGAAAGGCAAGAATAAATTTTGCTCCTTTTCTCCTAATTGGTATATTCGAGCTTAATTAAACCTAGGAGAAGTAAATGCATCTCTTAATTCAATGCTAGAAGCATTTTAAGGTTCAGAGTAGGTGACTCATCCACTAGAAAAGAATTTATTCTTTGTTTTTAAATGCTATTTACTGCCTTGTTTTGCATCACTATAGCTACTGTATGTCATTGGTGATATCAGCACCTACCGTATGTAAGGTGAATGCAAGGCCCCGTTTAAAAGATGGTATAGTTTTTATAATAAACCACTTGTATCAGCTACTTTTCTGTCCTTTGTTAGTACTTCTCCCATAAAAGCGACAGTAAAAGTGGCTCAATATTTTTCATCAAAGCCACCTGAAAAATAAGGTCTCCTGCACATATATCATGTCATAGTTAAAAAAGCCCTAAGCAATAACCAGCCCCCTTTTTCAGATTCAGTGGCTTTATAAACAATTCCACAGTGTCCTACAAGTGATTTCTAAGTTTCAGATGAATTGATTTGCAGCTGTATTTTCAGTTATTTTATTGCTAGTTATTTTTAGAGTTAAATACTTAGTTAAGCTTGTTAGAAGCATCACTGCTTTCATGGCCCATATAGATTTCTTTTGCTCTCTGTTACTAAGTGGAGCCTGAGAACAATTAATGTATTCCAGTTAGAGGCCGATTCTTTTGCCAATTACACAGCCCCATGTTCTTTTCTGAAGCGCATGAAGTACAATCACTTCTGCCATCCTATTCAATCAAACCCTTAAGTTGCACAGATTTTTGAAATGGCCTGGGCTTCAACAGCTTGGGAGCTGATTCACTGAGGCATCTGCTGTAACACTGGCAGGACTGTCACCATTTTCCTAGCCAGCTTCATTTGTCTTTGTCATTTAGAAATAATCTGCAGGGTGTAATGCGGTCTTAGGGAAGCACGGAGTCCGTTATTGCTCAATAATAGAATTTCATGAGGTCTTCACAACATCTTTGACACATTTGAAAGTGCATGAGTGGATGTATATCTCTAACGTGCTATGGAACAAGGACAGAGAACTGATTTAAGGACTCAGCGTGCGCTGAAGGGATGCGGAAATAAAACGGCCAGCTGGGGAGTGGGGGGCAGGGGCAGCGAGTCCGGGGACACACAGCAGTGTGGCATGTCTTCTCCGCAGCAGCCCAACCCAAACCTTCATAAATCCCAGCCCCCTACAAAGCCGCCGAGATTATTTCCAGCCTGAAACACATATTTTCTCATCCAAATCCCTTTCCCTGCTACCCAGGGTGACTGGAGATGGGGTATCAGACCCTGAAGAGGTCATAAAAGAAAGACTTTCGCCTTAGATGTAGTCAGAGCTATGTTCCCTGTGCTCCCTCTGGCTCAGTTAGGTCTGGCTGACAAGCAGCGCAAAAGCCTCGAAAACGGGCTCTTTGTGCAATGTGCAGAGAGGTGGGCTGGGGGCGCGGGGTCCAGGGTGGCCCAGAGGGGTTGCACGCAGAGGCAATGCTCAAGGGGCAGCAGGGGCACACAAGGCGGGCCTGGACCAGGTGGGAGACCGGGATCAGACCAGGAAAAAAGGCATGAATCAGGTGTTGAGCAAGCACCAGGAGGTGATGAGAGGGAGGAAGGCAATGGAGGGAGCAGGACACTTCTTTTGGTCGGGGAATAGAGCGAGGGCACATCTCCTTTGTCGTTAGACCTGTCTCTGGTGCCGCTAGCAGCTGGCACAGCTGGAACTGCGGTCACGGCTTTGGGAAAGGGCTTTACTCTTTCCAAGTCAGCAGTCCCTCAGGGCGGTATCCGCAGGTGCCTGGCTGTACGGCTCACTGGGTGATGCAGGAGTAAGAGTGTGCCTCGAAAAGCCTGTATTTTAGTGATGTAGGTGGTTGGTGGGGTCGTCCTGTTCCCTTCCTCCTGGGGAGGGGGACAAGTCTGAGCAAGGGCAGTGAGCTTGAAATGCTCTTTCTGGCAGGCTGAATTGGTCCTCTTCTGCGCGGCTGTGGCTCCGGGTGGGTTTGGATCGTGCCAGATCAGGGCTTCGGTTCGACGTCTTGCTGAGCTTCGGCGCCTGGTCGTGCTCTCCCGCTGCGCGTGCGTGTCAGAAAGCGTGCCGTTCAATTCGGCGTCTGTCGATGGCCGGCTGGCCTTTCAAGGTGTGCTGAAACCTTCGGGCTCTGCCCCGGCCCACAGCTGTGCTCCAATTTCTCCGGGGTCTGCGGTGTCCTTTTTTAGATACAATGCAGTGGGAGTGAAAGTCTCTGTGATATCACGCTGCTCTGTGCTACAGCTAAGTCAAGTCATTGTGAAGGGTTCTGGAGTAATTGCAGATATTGTACAATTTAGTTTTGTGGGGTAATTGGTAATGTAAGCCTGAAACAAGCTATGCTTAAGATGTTTTAGTTTGCAGTTCTCAGTAGGAACAGCCTTGACAAAGAAGGCTTTTGTGTGTGAGATAGGACCAGGATTAATGGCAGCGTTTAGTTGTGCCAAAGAGGTGCTGTGGCCAGTCGCGGGGCAGTGTAACCGATGGTGCCCGCATCCTGCAGGAGGCTCAGGTAGTGAAGAGCGGCTTCGAATACCGAATACCTGCTCGGGAGAACAAAATGCCCTGGGCCAAACCCACCAAGGGCTCAACTCACCCGAGGAGATGATGAATTTCCATCCAAAATGAATGTGGCTCATTTAGTCTATAGGTCAGACAATGTGGTTCAGTCTCTGTTTGCTACTAGGTGCTTAATACACGTCACCAAGTTTTCAGAAACCCTCCTAGAATTTTTCAATGAAAGGGCAAGTGTTGTATCTATAACTCTCAAATGTGAGGAAAATCCTAAGGCTGTGGAGGTGCAGATACGCAGCCACAGGCTGGAATAAAGTCCCTGAGGCAATGATTGCTGCGCCATCAGCTCTGTGCCAGTGCCCAGCCAGCTCTGATCGCTCTCCGCCTGGGTGCTAACTGCCAAGTGGAACGAGGAGAGAGCAAGGGACGGAGCTGTTGTGACTTGGGTGCCAGACAGCGTTGAGGGATGGTTAATGGGCACATAAGCAGCTTAGGTTCCTACGTGGCCGACTTAAATGAGATTTGGGTGCCAAACCTTCCCTGATGCATTTGAAAATCCTACGCAGCGCCTCTCTGAACCTGCAGGCAACTAAAGACTTCTGAAAATCTGGCCCTGGACACCGATACAGCTGGTGTGTTTGGAATTAATAGTTTAAAGAGAAGTGCCGGTTCGTGACTAAATGGAAGAGACATCTGGGAATAGCAAATATTTAAGACATTATGAAGCATCAGATTGCGAATTTTATTCAAGGTTGATATTTTCATGAGTAACTTCTTTGTCAACAGATGCAATTTCTGAGCTCGTGTATTAATAACAAACAGGTTGCTGATAACATTGGAGGGTTTCCATTTTCCTACTGACGAGTCTGGGGCTATACAAGACTTCTCTCCATCGTTGCCCCGAGGGGCAGCCAGGGTCGGTGTCCCTCTCTGTGTCGCAGCACGAGGTGGTAGCCATCTGCTAGAAGGGCTGCTCACGCCAAAAGCGGACGACATCACTTCTGCTGCTGCTTCACCAGTGCTCCCCATTTGCTGTCCCTCATGCCATATGCCCTGGGTGGGCTTCCAAGGGGGCTGGGTGGAAACGTGCCTCCCTTCCCATTGTGGATTTGGCCCCAAATGCTAGCGATACTCCCTGCATGGCACAGCAGTGCATGTTGAATGCTCATCTTCAACGTCTGCTTTGCACTCTTTTAGGGAA